GGCCTCGGCGGCGAGAGGCCCACACGGCGCTCCTGTCCCACGCGCACCCCTGGGGCCGCCGGGCCCCTCCCCAGGCCTCCCATGGCCAGGCTTTTAGCGTTGAAGTACTAAAGCAGCCGTAACCTTTTATGCATAAACTTTCTTTACAACTTTAGGGACTTTTTTTTTTTACATTCAGATCATAGTGAAACCTGTAAACTAAACCCTGTTCCTGTGGTGGTCCTGTCAGTATGGAGCACTGCTAGGGCTCACGTCTGCTTGGCTGATTTCACATTTGAAACGTTGTGAAGTTGTCTGGCTAAGGAATCTGAAGAGTTACCCAATAGTCTGTGTGACAAGGTGTCTGTTAGGGTTGGTATTCAGGAGGTTTTACTCTTAACTACAGGTTTGTTTTTTTTCTCTTGTCGTAGATGAAAATGAAGCAGAGAGACCAGAGGAAGAAAAAGCTAGGTGAGTATCTTGACAATTGGAACTTGTGTAGCATGGCTGCACAAAAATTGTATTGGTTACATTTTTCTTTGCAGCTGCTTGAGGGTCCGTAGTGCGAGAACACATGCTGGTGTCTTTGAAAATCCCCTTCAGATAGTATGTTTGGTCTGCTAGAGTGACTTGGCTTTTCTGTGAAATGGTTTTGCCTGTGAAATTGGGAAACTTGAGTATGAAAGTTATTTTAAGTTTTAACTGTGTGGGCAGCAGTAGCCCCTCACAAAATGTCAACAGGTTATTTATTTCTGCAATCATTGTGTTTTGCCATCTTAGTAATGAGTCAGGACTTAATTTGTTCTAGATAATTTAAAAATGAAAAGACAGAGTGTCTCCCAAAGAGTTTATGATGTAGTTACAAAAACAAGAATACAAGGAATCAGTGGAAGTATACAGGTCCCATAATGCATCTTCTTAGGTTTTTGGGGTTGGTTTTTTTTTTATTACTAAGAGAGTATTTGAAAAAAGTTAGAAAAAGCTTTGGAAGCATTTGGGGGAGCCTGCTTGAGTTATAGGAAACTATATGAGAGAAGGCACAAAGATGCTCCTTTGAAAATCTAGCTAAGTTAATGGAGGTTGGTAGTAAGGACTGACTAGAAGTGGGAATCAGTTTCTCATACTGAATGAAAGAAGTCTCGCAGTTGATAAACTATGGAAGTTCTTGATTGTCAAGATAAATTAAAGAAGTGGAAGCCAATGCAAGGAAACATGCATTATTATTTTCTATAAATGCTTCCAGTCAACAGAGATTTTTTTCAATGAGAACTCTTGAATTTAGTTACCCTTGGTGGACTTCTTGACCATAAGCTTGCACAATTGTTTTTTAGAACTGACATCAGCTTTTCACAGGCACAGTGTGATACAGCAGTAATGAACTCCACCACTTGACTACACACAATGCCATTCTGAAGCAGCTACTAGATGCAATTATTTGATTCCCATTAATTCTTGTAGTACAGTAAACAGAATCATTTCCTGTTGCGTTTTCCATGACACTTAACAGTTTTCTAGACCTCTCTTGCATTTGTCTTGGATCATCTTTTCCAGGACAGAGCATTCTAATTACTTATTTGCTCTTTATTTGGAAGCTATTCTGTGTCAATTGATTTCTTGTGTTCAGTTACCTTTGCTTGACCTGGCACCTTTTGTCCATATTACTCTTGTTTAAGAAAATAATTTGCATGGCAACCAAAATGGTCTTTAGAAATAGTGGTGTTTTACTCCAGTTTCTGGTCAGTAATAATCTAGCTTGGCATTTCGCTGTCTCAATATATAGTTATGGACTAAAAGCATAACAAATGGTAGCTTACGCATCTTATGGGTTGTGTTTGGAACTCTGGAAGCATGGTGAGAGTTCACCTGTTAAAAGTTTTGGTCTCTGGCCTCTCAGTTTTGGCATTCTTTATATATATATAAAAATAATGAAGTTTTACTCAGGTTCTGTAGCTAGTCTGTCATTTTACTGGGTGATGAAGTGAAATGGTGAAGCTTAATCCTGGGGCCATACCTGGGCTGTGTTGGGTTTTGGTGCAATGCTCATGAGTGGGTACTTGGCCAACAGAAGACAGGATCAAAATAATTCTATTGATTAAAAACTGGCAGTTGTGCACACCATTTCAGAAATAACTTCTTGGTGAAAGAATATTGTTTCTAAATGCCTCCCTGCTTACACTGCTATTTGTGGTGCACCGTTCTAGTTAATGGAACTCTGGAAATTAAAATATTGCTGTGTAAGAAACAGCAGTAGGTGAGAGCCCGTGAGACAGCTCATTTGCATGGATTTGACAGTGCTGGTCATTTTAGATGGACCAATGGTTTTAAAATTTTTGCAGTTTTCAGTCTACAGCTAAGGTATAATTGAATTAATTGTTGAATTTTGGCTATTCCATATGGTGGAAGCAAATTTAATGATGCAGATGTGGAAATTTCGATTCAGTGCAACATTACCTGTGAGTATTTAAATGGGCTTTTTGCATTATGTTTTTGAAAAGTGTCAGTCTGCAGGGGGGAAAAAAAAAAGCTGTTATGAGAGATTTTACTTTGATTTCAAAAGAGGATCCAGGTATAGTGACTTATTACTTCCGACTATTCTACAAACATCCGGTTAGTATGATTTAAGATAGGTAAATATTATCCTGCTAATATTAAGTTATATTCTTCTAGATTTTTTTAATTTTTTTTTTTTTTATTAAAGCAGAAGATAGCTGTAGCTTTCGCTCTTCTCTGGAATGATGTGGCAAGGCTTTTTTCAGAATTAGCTGATATGTGTGAAATAATATGTGTATAAATACCTAGTTTCATCTTTTCCTGTTTGTTTTTTAAGTGCTCCACCCCCACCTGGAAGTGAAGAGGAAGCTGCAGAAAATGGCGTTGTGAAAACGGTAGTTTAAAATGTGTTTTTGAAACACTGCTTTAATTTGTTTTGATTTATGGGGTATTCGTAATTTGGCCAGGACTTATGATTAAATGAATTAATGCACAATTGTATGCCTTATGTGATTGATTTTTATTTTTTTTTTTCCTGAAAGGTGTTTGACACTATCTGCAGAAACTGTAGGAATTACTAACTTGGGAAATCCAATTTCCAGCTGCAGTCCACTTTGTAAAATCTAACATAGGAAATAAATGAGTAGTCCTTCAATTTTCTGGGGGTAAAGATGGTGCTTCAAGATGGCTGTGTTTTCTGAAAGACATCCTTTTCAGAATTATACTTTCTCTGTTTTTCCTCACTGATGGGAAAATAAAATCCTCTGATGATTTTTCTTTCTTGAACATGATAATAAGAATTTACAGAACTATGAAAATATGGATCAAGAGATTAATTACATGTACCTTTCAAGGGCAACATAACAGACTTGTTTGGTACTAGTCTTCAATGTTCAGCATGTCTTATGGCTTCAGTGTTAGTATGATGAAGGAAAGGACAAGGAAATTAAATTTACAGTTGCAGTGTTGATAAAAGGCCTTAAGTTACTGTGGATTGGAGCAGTTTAAATCTGTTCCATGAAAAAAATTGTAGTTTTGCTTCCCTGGGATTTTTTAGCTTATATCTTGCAAGAATTCTCTGAAGTGATACAGAAACGATTATGATATTTATGCAAGTTTTAAGGACTGGCCTATCTCAAAAGCATTTTTTTTTTCAGTAAGTTTAATACTTTATGAAAGATATTACAATTTAATTTAAAGTTGGAGAAAAAAAGCTTATAAAAACTTAAACTTATTTCAGTTGTTAAAACTGAAAAGTTGGGTATTGTAAGTGCACCAAAGGCTTTTTGTGCTGATGCTGATTCTCTAAGTGGGCAGTAGATTTAATGTGTTAGGTACAATGAGACAATACTTTCTTGGACTTGCTGATTTTAAGGTATTTCTGAAAATCCTCATTGGTGCAGTTTCCTTGTACTTTCATATCTTTGTATTTTTGACCTATACAAAGCCTGGCATTGTTAGGCTATCATTAGAACATCTTCATAAAATTAAAAACTTTCATGGTAAAAGGTGAATGTGAAGGGTCAGCAGCATCCTCAAAAATGGGTGGTGTTTAAGTGGATTGAATAAGAAAAAGTGAATATTTCTGTGAGGAAGGAATGAAGAAATGATTGTTTATAACTGAAATTGGTTGTGGTTGAAAAGGTATGTGCTCCAGACAAAATTTTATTTTCTGTTCGATGCATTTATGATGAATGGCTCTCTGCTGTGTGAGTTGCCTAGTGTGTGAGAGAGTGGTGAACTTGTACTTTACAGCAGTGAAAGACTGTCCTCTGTCTTCAGCTGTCATTTACAGAATATCTAGACTTATCTAGACTTCCACCCCGCCTTGATTGGACTCTTAATTATTATGTAAGTTATATTAATGTTGTAAAGCAAGGATGAACTGCACTCCAACATCTTATCTTCTGTGTAGCTGCTTATTTTTGTCTAATTTATGTACCAGGCAAGTTAATAGATGGTATACTAGATAAGGGCTAGAGCTCAGCTGTGCTTGGATAACTGCAGGCTGCCTGGACAGAGTTAACAGGGCTTTGGTATGTTCAGCCTCTTGCTGAAGGATTCAGCAGGTATGTGGATAAGGGTGATCTGGCTGATAAAGTTCACTTGGATTCCACAGAGTTTTTGAAGAAGTTCCTCACCAAAGGATTTTAAGAAAACTAAGCAGCTATAGGGTAAGAGTCCCACATGGATAATTGATAACGTAAAGTATAGAAAACAGAGGGTAGAAGTAAAGGTTGTGGTTTCACAGTGACAGAAGGTCCCCTCCAGTTGGGGATTCTCTGGTATGTTGTGCATAAGCTATGCTGTTTAGCATGTTTATAAATTACTTGGAAAAAGGGGTAACTTGTGAGATCACAAGTTTTCTGATGTTACAAAGTTATTCAAGATAGTAAGAGCAAGGACTATCTGTGAAGAACTGCCTGGTTAATAAATGGTTATTGAAATTCAGTGTAGAAAAAGAAGAGTGATGTTCATGCAAGGAAAACCATATTTACAAATAAAATGGTGTCTCTGAGCACATCATTACCACTTAGGAGAGACTCACTAAGATATGTAGAAAGTTTCATGGAAATTATGGTTAAGTACTTTCAAAACAGTCTAAAAAGCAGTTAAACCTTGGGATGTAGCAGAAAATCAATAGAGAACAGCACTGAAGATATCATTATAGCATAAATTCATGGTTCAGTTGCACCCTGAGTTCTGTGTGCTGTTCTGTAGCAGTCACATCATAAAGGCAGTGCATCAACTTAAAGAAGTTGAGAGAAGAAGAGCAGCAAGAGTAGTCAAGGTAGCTTCTGTACAAAGAATGGCTGAGTAGGCAAAGACTTCTCAACCTGGAAGACAGGCATACACAGAACATGATGGAAGCTAAGAAAATAATGTGTGGAGACTATAAATAAGGATTGACTCATCACAGTCCCTTCCATATGAGAACTAAGACTGTTAAATGAAAGTCATAGGAGCCAGGATGAAAACAAATAAAAGAGGGACTTCATGCAGTAGACAGTGGAACTCTTTGCCAGAGAAAGCGTTGCTGCGGGGAGTTTTTGTGAGGCCAAGGGAAATCTGGGCGAGTACTTGAGAGAAAGATCTGTCGTGGATTACTAAATAGGCAACCATAACTGGCTTTAGGAAATGCTGTGAGCTGATAATAATCAGTAGCTGAAAGAGTGGCAGGGAGGAGCATCATATGTGTTTGTCCTGTTTTTTCTCTCCCTTGTGATCTCTGGGTAGGGGGAAACAAAGCAAAACACCAAGCAAGCACAAAACACTGGACTAGATGAATCTTGGTATGAGCTGGCATGACTATTTTTATTTACCAGCAAGCTGTATGCTATGGGACAGGACAGTATGCAGTGTGCTCTTGTATCTCTTTTTTCAGCCTGTTTGCTGAAAAATCTCAAGTATTTTATATAGTTTACTGATGCTAGGAACTGAATAGATTGTTTTGAAGGGCAGTGTTCATCTACAACTGGAAAAATGTTTGAGTTACTCTGGATATGTTGTTGAGGATGGCAAGAAGCCAGTCTTGAATATCTTTGAGTGCTTTCCTGATTGACAAGATAAGAGTAGAACTGGTGTGTATAAGCTATACAGAGGGAAGAAGAATATTAGATAGTGGAAACCATTTCTTGCTTATTTAGGAAGTGTAATGTTTCAGAAACAGAAGCTTAGTATTAAAGATACTTCCCTATTTTGATACAGATGTTTCAGATACTTGTAGCATTTCAGCAGGTGAGCCTCCTAAATTTACTGTTAATGCTACTCAGTTCTGAGGTCTAGGCAAAGGAGAATTTTCTTCTTTGAAAGATTTCTAGAATGGATAGATTTGTCTGGATTATTTTTCCACTGTAAAGGTAAGTAACTGCTTTTTGTCTAAGCAAGGACTTCTTCTTTTTGTAGAAGGTGGCAGAAGCTGAGGATGACAGTGATAGTGATAGTGATGATGATGAAGATGATGTTCAAGTCACCATAGGGGATATTAAAACAGGAGCTCCACAGTACAGGTAAGTTATTTCCAAACATTAACTGGGGGAACTTTCAAGATTACATTTAGTTATTAATTCAGGCTCTTGAATACTTATCAGTGTCAAACTCTATGCGTAGTTAGTGTCGGTTTAGGATTTTTTCAGCTCTTAAACAATGTTTTTAATGATGTAGGGACTTGAAAAAAAAAGGTGAGATTAAGTCAATGAAATGTCTTGAAGAGCTGTTATACGAGTTAAATTTTGTTTTCAGATTTTGGGACAAAATTGCATTAAGTTTGTAAAGTAGAGAGTTGTTTTTTATTATGGAATGAATATGTTAACATAGCATTTTTAGGGTCTTTGTTGTGATGGTGACATTTTTGTTGCCAATGATGGAGTGGTAAGCACGGAGAACATTGGAAACATTTGTCCTTGGTCCTGTTTGTAGTGGATATAGTTCTAATTAGACCTCTATACTTTCAATTCCTATTGATGTTCTCAATAAGATTTTAATATACTTCAGGATGGAGCTGCCAATCTCTGGAGATAATTTCTCAAGATCATGGTTTAAGCATTTGTAACAATTTATTGCCACTGTTATTGCTCCATATTCCCTTTTCTCTTGATAAATGGCATGTTTTTCACTGAACACTTTTGAACAGGGTTAATATTGCCTAAAATTATGAAATACTATTTTTCATTACATGGGAGTTTTCTGAGGGAAGTATTTTGCTTGTTTGTCTTGGCTATCCTAATGTTTCTATGCTTGTCAAAACCAGAGTTACTAGGGTGCCATTTCTTAGTAGAATTATGACAGGTCTGCAGGTAGGTCTAATGTGTATATTACTGTGTTCTTAACTTTAGAATGCAGGTGATTTGTTGATCTTTAAAACACAATATTTTTAAACTTCCAGTATTTCATATCCTAAAGTAACTGTGCAAATCAGTGTAATATAAAAGATAGCAATTCTTTCAGTTCTTTATTTGTCTGCTTTCAGTAACTTGCAGTATGCTTGTGGTATAGGCAGTGACCTATATATAGACCTATATGTATAGACCTCAAATTTTGTGAGACTAAAGCAAAACTAGTTTTTATTCTCAGTGGATTTGCTGGTGCTTTTTCCATGAATACAGAAAACAGTCACCAGATGATCCTGATTCTAATTAGAGTAGAAAGTTTTGTGTAGAAATGGTTGATTTCTGAAAGACATGTTTTCTGGGCAAATTGGTCAGAAAGTTCATGGAAGGGCAGTAATCTAAAACAAACTCAACATTGCTGTTCATTTTAACTTCAGTATAACAAGTTCCTTTTATAGGATTAAATGATTTTTCATATAGTAGTCAACTGCTGTCTGAAAAACCACTAAGATTTGTTTGACAAAGTCATGCACCAATACAGAAGAGCAGATCAGGTGGTTAAATATTTTATGTCAGTCTTGTACTGTTGTAGCACTTGAATGAAACCTAAAACTGCTGGAGGTGGTACTGTAAACTATATACTGCCTTCTAATTTTATGCTAATCTCATTATGTTTATGGATTGATACCACCTGTGAGGATAAACTACATTGCACAAAAAAGGTAGTGAAAGATAGGTCTTCGTGTTCCGAATTAACAATATTGTAATTCCTAATGTAGTTAAATCAGTTTGGTGTCTAGATTTCTGAGTGAATTTCTTATGAAAAAAAGCTCTCAAGTATTTTAGAAAGTGAAATTTTATGTACTTTTCTGTTTGTCTCAAGAATTTGTGATTGCTAGAAGTACATTGAAGCAGACAGCCTTTTGATCATTGTAGAGAAATGCTTTTATTTTCTACTTCTCTACCAATGAAATGAAACAATTATGAAAAAAAAAAGGTTCTGTCTGAATCCTTTATTCTCTTTTTTTTTTTTTTTTTTTTTAAACTGAGATACACTAATCCCCAGAGTGTCATCTGTATCCCTAAATGAACTGCATTTTTCCTTTCTGTTGTCTTCTGGTTCTGTCCATTCTTTTTTCTATCAAGGTCTTTATACTTTCAACTCAGGAAGAGTGACTGGGACTTGCTTCAGAACTGTTTATTAGTTGGAGAAGTTGCTACTGAGCATAGAAAGGTATACTCTCTTCCTCCTAGGCTGATCTCTTTACTTTTACAGTGTTACCAGCTTACCAGAGATACAGGATGGCAATTGAGCCTGGGTCCAGTTTGTTTCTGGATCTAGCTAACTCTTGTTTTAAGTTTTCATGTGTTTTAGAGTTTTCTCTGTCTAATTCAGTTTTGTTAATTTCTTTAAGTTATGGAGCGGCACCTGTGAATCTCAATATTAAGTCAGGAGGACGAGCTTATGCGTCTTCTGGTAAGAAAATTTACACAGAATTATTAGTAAAAATGCAAAAAAAGTTTGATTGTTTTGGATGAAAGAAGTAATTTTCACTTCCAAAACTTTTTGATAAATTTAGATCTGACTTTTAATTTCTATTTTGTGTTACAAGTGTTAAAACTCTCTTTGGTAGAGACAGAAGGCTCTAACTTTCTAACTTCTTCACAGGTGCAAAAGTTAAAGGGGTCGATCTAGATGCACCAGGGAGTATTAATGGCGTGCCACTTCTGGAAGTAGATTTAGATTCTTTTGAAGATAAACCTTGGAGAAAGCCAGGTAATGCTTGGTTTACATTAACTGATATGTAGGTAGTCAATAGGTTATTTTAATAGTAATTCTGGTTTATTGCATGTAGATATTATCTATCCTATAGCTAGAAGACACTGTACAGAGTTACTTGGAAAAAGCAGTGAAGTTACATGTTGCCTTTGTGCTGTGCCACAGAGTGCGTGGGTATGCCATGTTTCTTAGTATACATCCTGCATCTATTCAGCAAAAAGAGACTGTAGGACATGCCTTTTATTTTTTTAAGTACATGCATATCCTGAACTCTTCTTGGAAATCTGTATTTCTGTGAGATTACTGACATTGGTCTGTGCCACAGGACAGAAGATAGAGCAGAACGGAAAATAGTTCTAGCAGGTTTGAGCATGAAGAATGGTGAAACATCGCTGCTTGTGCTTCTTAGTGTTCACACACAGATGTCCATAAGCTTTGAAGAAGCAGCTGCTACCACCTGGCCTTCCCATAAGTCTCCTGTGTGTGTTGTCTGGTTGGCTCAAGTGATTTGTCCAGACCTGTCTAATACCAGCGTTGGTTGGGGTTTTTTTTTTGTGGCAGTACATCTTGCTCCTGTGCATAGTTTTTTCTAGTGTTTGTGTATTGCTTTGGCAATGCAAATAGTGTCTACAAAATGGAAAAAAAAGAAGCCTTTGATGATATTCTGGAGTTTGAACTGTTAGCTATTTGAAATATATTCTATGTATTTGAGTTATGTCTGTTCTCTCTATTACAATAAAAGTACTTCATGGCATCAAATGAAACTAGGAGTCAAAGTGGAATGAGGAGTCAAATATAGAACAAGCAAAAAGTTGTCTATTCTTCACTGAACATACAGCAAACCTCTAGATCTTACATTTATTCTATTGTAAAGATACGGGGATTATACTATCCTGTGATGTTCTGTAAGTATCTACTCTTGATCCCTGAGACAGGATGCTAGGCAAGATACTCCATTTGACTAAATTTTAATGTGTTTATAGTCTTATCCATGAATACTCTATGTTTACTAATATAAGACTGTACTGTACATTTCAGTAGTAAAGTTTTTGGATCAATACCTAGTCTATTTTGGTGTTATAAATAGAGGTGTAGGTATGTTCGGTGAAGAAAAGATGAACTTTGTAATGTCCTAAAAAGCTATGCTTTTGTATTTAAAGGGGCTGATCTCTCTGATTATTTCAACTATGGGTTCAATGAAGATACCTGGAAAGCTTACTGTGAAAAACAAAAGAGGATACGAATGGGTCTTGAAATTTTACCAGTTACCTCAACCACAAATAAAATTACGGTAATTAGTACAACTTCTGTGGTATTCCACATGCTTTTTTCCCTGTAAAGCTTCTTGTGTGTCATAAGCTTGTTCTGCCCTTTTCAGTGCATTTGTTAGTTTGCATCTGACTCCCCACTCAGAGCCTAAAGTTCCTTTGTTGCTTCACTGGCAATTTGTGTGGATAGCGTGACAGATTAGCTACAACTAGATTGCATCTGTACCATTGTTCAGATTGTGGCCCATCATTTAAGAGTTGTATGGTATCTTAATGGGCAATGTGTTATTTAACTTAGGCTGAAGACAATGCTATGGAAGTAAGACCAAGTGCAGAGATTCTCGATGGCAGATACCATCTTTTGAAGGTGAATTTTAGTAAACTTTTGTTGGTTGCTCTCATTTTTGTTGAGTATCGCTTCCCATGCCACCCCGGACTGATAGAAGAACAATGGAAATAGACAATCATTATTTCAAATTGTCATCTTACATCAGTGACTTTCTGTGTATGTCACAAAATGCTGATTAAAAAGTTTTGCTTTCTTTGTTGGCCTTCTGTAAGCTTTTGAGTTAGTGGCCTGGTGAACTAACAGATTTTCCAGTGAAACTAATTTTTCTTTATGTGATAGTTTATTTTTACTTGCAGTGCATTTGTTTGTGCAGATTAAAGAATTTGTGCAGATGTGCTGGGGAAGCTTTTGTACGTTAGGGAATGTTTATTTTTCCTGTGGCCTTGTACCTCTTACTGTGTTTTGTAACACTTATCCTTGGCAGCTCTGAAATGTGAAAATCAATCTTCCATATTTTTCTGTTGTCCTTTTGGGCTTTGATGGCAACAAATCAAGCTATAGATAATATTTTTCCATTCAGAAGTGCTGATTTTCTGAGAGCAGAAAAATCTATATGCCACGATTTATTTTAAGGATTTAACATTTTTTTCCACCTCACGTTTTCTCTTTCATTTGATACTAAAGTTGAAATTAAAATGCAAAGGTTATTGATTTTGCTTATTTTCAATGTGCAGTTGTTTTTGTTCTTGAACTGTCATTCAACTGACTTGGAACTGTTTGTTGCTTTTTTCTGTATACCCCTGTGACAGAAGTATCAACTGCAGACAGATATTTTTTTTGTCCCTTCATATGCTAATTGAGGGTATCCAGTCATTTTGACTTCATTTTATCAAGAACAAATCAGAAGCTCCCCGGGGCTTTTTGCCTTCCTCAATTGTCATTATAATAGTATTACAGAATGATGGAAATGGTGGGCAATGGGAATTACTATTTTCAGCTGACTACACTCTCAAACTTCTCAGAACTGTTGTCCTGAAGGAAGAAAGATAAGTATTCCAAACCAAAACTTCCCCTATTTCTAGCTCAATATTGACTCTCTGGGGGTCCAGTGATCAAACAATACAAATAATAATTGCGTTGTAAGAGTCTGAAGTAAGACTGCCACGTGTTTTACAAGGAGTTTACATATAATTATTAAATAATTTTATTAACTTTTTTCCCACTCTTCTGAAATACTAAGTCTCATGTAATTGACATGGTATGTTTGGATCAGTCTTCAGTAACTTTGTCTCCTACATTTTCCAGTTCCTTATTAACTGATAGAAGTCTTAGAGATTTTTCAGATAAATACTTAAACCAAACCTATTCAGTTATTTTTTTTCCTATTCTGGATACTAAAGTTTAATTCAATTTTTAATGAATCTTAACTATTTATGTGCATTTTTGTGGGTTTGGGAAAGAGGTGCCTGTGTTTAGAAGTGAGATTTCTGCAAAAGCTTATCAGTTCACTTGTCTACAAGAAGCTGCAAGATCACAGCCTGTGATGTTATACCATGAACTATGTGTGGTATGTAGAGTGATGTAGCTGTGTGGTTGGTACAGTGGGAGGGTCTTTAAAAACTGAATCAGTACAGGTTTGTCTTTAATGCTAACCCATGTAGGTTTTGCTTTCATGTATGATGTGATGCTGGAGTCAAACTATACTTTGAAGTTCTTGCACCAAAGGTGTTTCATAGCTATAATAAGGTGTCTCTGGAATTTTGCAGTTCTTCTGAAACAGCAGTATGTTTGTGAAGTATTCAATTTGAACTAATGAAAAATCTTTTAAAGTTTGCATAACCCAGAGTATGAGGTGACTTCCTGGTATGACTCGGAAATCGAGTGGTTAGTTGATCTCATGGTCAGTAAGGCAGACGGAGAATCCACTCAGTTTCTCGTATTGTGGTTTGTTGTTGGGCAGCAGACTTGTTAGATATCTCCGTTAAAATTATGAAGATTTTTATTTTTTTAAATAAGTTTGCTTCTTTTAAAAATTAATATATTATTTTGTTCATACAGAAGATTCTGCAAGAAAATCGGTTTGGTCTGTTTGTGTCCAAATCAAATGCTTGGAATATAGATACTAAAACAGTCTAATCCATTCTCTGGCATATTGCTTCTTATTTATATTAAACACAGTACTTAAGTAATATATCCTTAGAAAATATGGAATTTTACTAGCTGTGCAAAGGTGACAGTTTTTAAAAAATCTGATTAAAGTTGGTCTGTGTTTTTGTGTTGGCTATGTGCTATGCTGAGTGTTGAAGCTGCTACGCTTCTGAGGTTAAACTAATGATGAAATGTTATTTTGAAGGTACAGCAGGGCAGAACTGGAAATTTGGAGAAAGAGTTGGCAGTGCAGTCGACCAAAGCTGATTTCACATCTCCTCCTGCCTTATTCAAATCAGGAATTCCAACAAACAGGTCAGTTAGAGAGCTGTAACTCAAGACCAAAAAACTTTTTATACTGCTACCTCATTGTATTTGGAGTTCGTTATTTTTGTAGGAAAAAAGGAAAATATGTTTCTGTAACAGGTAGAAATGAGGAGAAGAGTGATCCTAATAACTTTTAGCCTTCAGTCACCATTACACATGAAGGCTGCGCTACTTTCTTGGCTATTCAGGAAAGAGAAAGTAGAAGGAAAGGGGAGAAAAAGCAGCAGGACCAAATAACAAGGCAGCAGCTATAAAAATCTAGGTGTTGATGCAGGGCATCATCCAGGAGGGCCCAAAGATGATCAGAGGGGTCCTATCAGATCTCCCCTATGAGGACAGGCTGAGACAGTTGGGGTTGTTCAGCCTGGAGAAGAGAAGGCTCCGGAGAGACCTTATAGCAGCCTTCCAGTACTTAAAGGGAGCCTACAGGAGAGATGGGGAAACACTCTTTATCAGGGAGTGTAGTGATAGGACAAGGGGTAACAGTTATAAACTGAAAGAGAGCAGATTTAGATTAGATATTAGGAAAAAAATATTCTGTGTGTGAGAGTAGTGAGGCACTGGAACAGGTTGCCCAGGGAAGTTGTGGATGCCCCACCCCTGGAGGTGTTCAAGGCCAGGCTGGATGAGGCTTTGAGCAACCTGGTCTAGTGGAAGGTGTCCTTGCCCATGGCAGCGGATTTGGAACTTGATGATCTTTAAGGTCCCTTTTCCAACCCTAACCATTCTGTGCTTCTATGGCACTATGTTTTTCGTGTAGAATTAGATTGGCCGGGAAAATGTTTCTAGCTAGTGTCTTTATGGGTATTAGCTAACACACTTTTTCAGTTAAACAAGACAGAATCAGATAGCTATGACTTCAACAACTGGAAGGATTCCTGGAACCCAATCCCTTTCCTGCAAAGTAGCTTTAGCTTCTCCATGTTTGAATGTTTTACTGTACCGTATTTGAAATGAGAATAATTATTTCCTTACTAGGGTTTCTTCCCCATCTTCTCCCAGCCCCAGGCTTATAATAAGTTCTGTCCTTTATATCTAAGCTACTACTGTTTTATACCTGGCACTTGGCTTGAGATGAATCCGTGCTTCTGCTTTCTTTTAGTTATCAAGTGATCCTGTTAAGGAGTTTTGGTTCTGTGCAAATTAAAAGCTATTGTATTATAAATGATGGTAAGAAAAGTAGAACAGGTTGTATGCTTTATCAACAGTTGAAGATTAGCATCTATAACTTGTCTTTAGCACAGCATCCATAAGTATCTTAAGTAATTCAGAGATGCTTGTTCAACAGCCAAATGTATTTCTCTTGAGTGGGGAAAAAAAAAATCTTGCTTGATATGCTTGCTTGCATTTTTCTTTCACTCCTAGA